CCCACCTATCCCCTCCTCCCACCTCAAGCCGCACCTCCATCTCCTACCGACCAACCTCATCCCGCCCCCTTGACCTGTCCGTCCTCCCTGGACTGACCTATCCCCTTCCTAACTCCCTACCTACACTCACCTTTCCTGGCCCCATCCCCGCCTCTTCGACCTGTTTGTTTCCTCTCCACCTATCCTCTCCTCTATCCCTCTTCTATCCGCCTCCCACTCTCTCCCTATTTATTTCAAAACCCCCTTCCCCTCCCCCTTTTCTGATGAAGGGTCTAGGCCCGAAACATCAGCCTCTCTGCTCCTATGATGCTGCTTGGCCTGCTGTGTTCATCCAGCCCTGCACCTTGTTGTCTCGCATCCTCAGAACTACTGTCTTTTCTTCCTTTGCTCCAAACTTTTCTCTAGTCATGTTGTCTTAGTTCTGTCTTTCTCTCTGGAGCTCAAATTTGTTCGTAGTTCTATTTCGTTGTTCTCTTGCTTTCCATTTCAATTGCAATGTAAAGTATTTTTAAATTTCTCTTTATTTTGAACTATTGAACTATATTTTGACACCATCTCATTACAAATATTAAAAAGATTCAATCTTTTAACGACAACAATTTTACAGATGCCAAAGCTTCAGCATGCAGTCATCCTGATCTCTATTCCAAGATCCTCGTTCAGCTGTAAAAGTCTATTTTTGGTAAATTTCTGCAATTTGTTAACAACTTTTCCCAAGACCTCTAAATAAGCTGTTAACTCAGTTTACAAGTTGATATGTTCCTTATCTCATGTCTTCAGCAGCTCTGTAGGATATCTATGGTACATCCCACAGCTTTGTATTCTGGCTGTCTAAGCATCTCAGGACTTTTTTCTTAGCCTCTCCTAGTTTGACTGCCAATAACATCATCTCTGCTGTTAAGGACGTCTTCTCTCTGATGCACACTGCTTCTGTCTGAACGAAATTGCTTTTTTCTCTCACTCTCTAGGTTGTGAAACTAAGTCAGTAATTACCCGAGAAGTTACTTTAGCAGAGATAACAAGGTGTAGAGCTGGATGAACACAGCAGGCCAAGCAGCATCAGAGGAGCAGGAAGGCTGAAGTTTCGGGCCTAGACCCTTCTTCAGAAAATGGCCTGCTGTGTTCATCCAGCTCTACACCTTGTTATCTCAGATTCTCCAGCATCTGCAGTTCCTACTATCTCAGTTACTTTAGCAGATGGCTTGCTATTCATTCATCTGAAGTTAAAAAATTTCCAAGAAATCTTATTAAGTAATTTTCCTACACTTTAGGGCTCAAGTTCCCAAATATTATATTATAAGCCTCATCACAACACATTAACAATGATTTGATGTTGTCCAAAACATTGAGGTAAATTCCCAAGTAAAATCATTAATATAAGTAATGTGATCTAAGTGGAAATCCTTGTGTAACAACACTTCTCACCTTTTGCCTGAACGATTACTGTGAACTCCTATTGTGTGTTTCTATTTTCATAGAATCATAGAATCCCTACAGTGTGGAAAGAGGCCATTCGGCCCAACAAGTCCACACTGCCACTCCGAAGAGCATCCCACCCAGACCCATTTCCCTACCCCTGTATTTCCTATGTCCTAACCTAAACATCCCTGGGCACTATGGACAATTTAGCATGGCCAATCTACCTAGCCTGCACATCTTTGGACTGTCAGAGGAAACTGGAGCACCCGGAGGAAAACCATGCAGACACAGGGAGAATGTGCAAACTCCACACAGACAGTCGCCTGAATCGAACCCAGGTCGCTGGCGCTGTGGCGCAGCTGTGCTAACCACTAAGCTACCATGCCGCCTGATCTTTTCTGTCATTTTCTAAATGCAGATGCTCTGATCTTAATTGTGAATCAATGACACTATCTTATCAAGGCCTTTTGAAAATCAAACTAGATTACATTTACGTATCACCTTTATTACTCCTTCAAATCACTTAATAAGCTTGGTCAAGCATGACTTTCAGTTTTGATATCTGCGCTATTGAAATATGTTATACTTTGGGTTTCTGTGTATCTATCAATTACATCTTTAAGAAAAAAAAGTCCATTATTTTTTCTATCACTGGGAATAAGGGGCATTAAAATGCCCAGATTAAAGTTTCCTAGTTATTTTCTTTTTAAGTTTCTTTTTAAGTAAAGAAATAACTAGCTAACCACCAGTCAACTGCCACCATTTGCCTTCTAATGCATTTCATATGCAGTAGTTCATTGCACCAGATTTTCCCAGGTGTATTTTCATAATCACACCTGTATCAAAGAATATATTTTTAATCCAAGATTTCATTGAGTATTGTGTAAAATGGCTTGATTAAAGTTAGTATTGGGTTCAGCTGAAAAATATCAAAGTTTGTTCACAGCAAGTGGACTTAGGAAGACAAGTTCTAATATGTATAACAGCACAGATTGAGATTTTTGATCAAATGTCACTTAAATCAAAGAGGTCCATGAGTCAGCTTGTTCTTTAATTAACATCAGCACTGCTATTTCCGACAAGATCTACTCAAATAAAATGTGCAAAAGTACTTCCTCTTCTAAGCAACGTGGTTAAATAAATTCTTCAGACTCACCTCCTCTGGGGTAATTACTCCAGTTTCTTTAAACTTTGATTCCTGCATGGAAAATGGAAGAACACATACATTAATGATAGGAGAAAGAAACAATCCTTGTGCATTAATTAAACTATTTCTTAATTAGTGCTGCGACTAATGAGAGATGTTCTATGGCCTCAATTTACTAGATAGCAGAATGACTGAAATAATACCCAGGTCTAAAGAATCGAAGAAAAAAAGTCATGTAATTGCAGGTTTTACAACCTGGAGAAGTGGAGGACCAATTTGTACAAAGTGAATTTAAAAGTAGCATTCTGTGGTTGGATGAGGGAATGAGGACGCAGAGGGACGGGTGGGCGAGAGAAGGGAAAGAAACTGGACAGGGGTTGGGTGAGATAAGGGAGAGAAGCAGGGGTTTTGCGGGAGGCTGTGAAGGAGCCCACTCACCCCCCAACCATCATTTCCCTGCCCCGTCTGTGCTGTTCTCTCTCCATCTACCTGCCCATCCTCAATATCCCCCAGGGCAACTAGGGACAGGCAATAAATGCTGGCCAGCCAGTGATGCCCACATCCCACAAATTAATAAAAAAAAAACTCCGTTCTAGATTGGTGCACATGCAGTTGGAAGTGATTCAGAGTGTAGGCAGACAGTGGCCGCTGTCATTATTCCAAATCTCTTGCATCAACAGCAGTTTCCTTTTATTTGAATGGGATAAGAATATATTTGGGATGAATAAATTGGATCCAAAGGTTGGCAGGAAAATTTATAGAGAACAATGGGCAAAATTCAAAAGTTGAGATCGTGGATACAATCAAGGTATATTTCTTCATATAAGAAGATAGAGAAGTCAAATTCAGCACTCCTTCGATGATAAAAGAGTTAGTAATTAAGATAACACAAAGAGGGTGCTTATGACCAACAGCTAGGAAATACAACTGAGAACCAGGTTGGCAATAGAAGGTCCAGAGGGAAGAGGAAAAAGCAAGTAAGAGCAGCAGAGTATGAAAACTGCATGGCAACCAACATAAAAGAGTAATCCAACAATATTCAATAAACAGGTAAAAAGGGTCATAAAAGGAGTAGCAGTGACAACTAATGATTAAAAATTGATGTATAGAGGCATGGTATGGTTTAAGAGTTAATGAATGCTTTTCAATTTTACCAAGGAAATGACGTTGCACAGCCTATGGAGAAACAAGAGCTAATTCAGTCACTACAAGGAATTACAATAGGTAATGAAAAATTATTGGATAGATCTTCTGAATTTACAACTGATAAAGCAACGAGACCAGATGAGATACATCCAAGGGTACAGAGGGAAATGTGGGTGCCAAGTGCAGAGGCACTGATCATAACTTTTCTGTCTTCCTTGGATTCAGGGGTGGCGCCAGAGGATTGGAGAATTACAAATACCACATCTTTATTCAAACAACAAAGATATAAAGATACGTCAAACAACTACAGGCCAGTCAGTTTATCTTCAGTGGTAGAGAAACTTCTGCAAATAATAATTCTAGGTAAAGCAAATGACGACATGGACAAAGAAGTTTAATGAAGGAAAACTCAGCATGGATTTCCTAAGAGAAAATCATGTACAACTGACTTCACATTTTGTTTTAAAAAGAGGTAACAGTGTTGATGTGACATTAGAGAACTTTCAAGGGATTACAGTGCCACATAACAATTACAATCAAAGTGATAACTCATGGAATAAAAGGGTCAGTTGCAACTTGGAGATACTGTCTTGGCAGTCAGCCAATTCTAAGTGGGTGTTAATAGATATTCTTTGGATTGGAGAAGGTCTGAGGTGCAGATCTGCAGGGCCCTTGCATTTCCTGATTTGTATAAATGACAAGGGTGTACAGGTCACAAATCAAAATTTGCAGACTCCTTGAAACTTGGAAGCATTGTGAAATGAGAGGAGCAGGGTGTACAACTTCTAAAAGACGTAGACAAGTTGATGAGATAGACATTGGTTCAATGTGGAAAAATGTGAATGTTTCATAAAAATAAAACAGAGAGACAAATAAATGAAAGGGTACAATCCAAAAGGAGGTGCAGGAACTAGGTGTGCAGGTCATTAAACATGGGACAGGTTGAGAGCATGGGTAATAAAGCATACAGAAGATAGAGAGAGTTATATTAAACTTGTAAAAGACACGAGTTTGACCTGCTGAAGTACTGCATCCAGTTCTGAGCACCATACTTAAGGAAATCAGAGAGCATTAGAGAAAGTGCAAAGGAGATTTACAAGAATGCTGCCAGGGATGAGAAACTTCCAGGTATGAATATAGATTGGAGAAGTTAGAACTGTTTGATCCTTAGAAGAGCAAGCTGACAGGAAAACTGATAGTGTATGGGATTCAAAATGAGATAGTCTGGATAGTGTAGATAGGGAGAAACTGTTTCCATTCGCAAACAAGATTAAGAACAAGAGTGTGCTGCAGAGGCACAGGCACCTTCCATCCATAAAGTTTGATAGTTCCACATGGTATTATTAAGACACACTTAGCTCTGTGAAAATTTTAGCTATTAACAATCAGGAGAAAAGGTGGAGATGGTCATGGGTACCCGCGTGGGCCCAAGCTATGCCTGCCTCTTTGTAGGTTACGTGGAACAATCCCTCTTCCGTACCTAAACCGGCCCTAAACCCCACCTCTTCCTCCGCTACATTGATGACTGTTTCGGCGCCGCCTCGTGCTCCCACGAGGAGCTTGAACAGTTCATCTACTTCACCAACACCTTCCACCCCAAACTTAAGTTCACCTAGACCATCTCTAATACCTATCTCTCCTTCCTGGACCTCTCCGGCAACCACCTAGAAACTGATATCCATTTCAAGCCCACCGACTCCCACAGCTACCTAGAATACACCTACTCCCACCCACCTTCCTGCAAAAATGCCACCCCCTATTCCCAATTCCTTCGCCTCCGCCGCATCTGCTCCCAGGATGAGGCATTCCACTCCCGTACATCTCAGATGTTCTCATTTTTCAAGGTCTACAACTCCCCCCCACCTCGACCGTGTCTCCCGCATTTCCCGCAACTCATCCCTCACACCCCCTCTGCGCAATAACAACCAAAAAAGAATCCCCCTCGTCCTCACGTACCATCGCACTAAGCTCCGGATCCAACGCATCATCCTCCGACACTTCCGCCATCTGCAATCCAACCCCACCCCATTTTTGCCTCCCCACCCTTATCTGCTTTCCGGAGGGACCACTCTCTCCGTGACTCCCTTGTCCGCTCCACACTCCCCTCCAGCCCCACCACACCCGGCACTTTTCCCTGCAACCGCAGCAAGTGCTACACCTGCCCCTACACCTCCCGCCTCACCCCCATCCCAGGCCCCAAGAAGACTTTCCACATCAAGCAGACGTTCACCTGCACATCTGCCAATGTGGTATACTGCATCCACTGTTCCCATTGTGGCCTCCTCTACATCGGGGAAATCAAGCGGAGGCTTGGGGACCGCTTTGCAGAACACCTACGCTCAGTTCGCACTAAACAACTGCACCTCCCAGTCGCGAACCATTTCAACTCCCCCTCCCATTCCTCAGACGACATGTCCATCCTGGGCCTCCTGCAGTGCCACAACGATGCTACCCGAGGGTTGCAGGAACGGCAACTCATATTCCGCTTGGGAACCCTGCAGCCCAATGGTATCAATGTGGACTTCACAAGCTTCAAAATCTCCCGTCCACCTACCGCATCCCAAAACCAGCCCAGCTCGTCCCCACCTCCCTAACCTGTCCTTCCTCCCACCTCAAGCCCCACCCCCATCTCCTACCTACTAACCTCATTC